GGGGGGGGGGGGGTCCCGCTGCCCCCCACTGCGCAGGAGGGCTTTGGCACGAGCGCCCAGAGGCCCCAATTACCACTGCTGAAGCTGGTGAGTGCAGGGTTTTTTTTGTTTGTTTGGTTTTTTTTGCATATGAAGTGCCGGGACTAGGTTAGGGCTGGGCAGGGAAGCCGTGGGGGTTTCTCCTGTGGCTCCCCCACCCAGGGAGAGGCAGGCAAAGCCAGAGGAGCTGTGGGAGAACCTGAAGCCACTTGGCTGTGGCTGCCTCTCCCTGGCCAATCCGAATCACTGAATCTCTCCGAATCAGTGCCAAATCTTCCAAAACCTATTCAGCCGAATCAAATCACTGGCCTCCGAATCGGCTGAATCCAAATCTGAATTGAATACTTCCCTATTCACACAGGCCTAATGGCCAAGAACTAATCAGCAAGGCAAGCAGAGAAGGGGAATTACTTTAATAGAATAGTTCATTTTAAAAAGCAAGCAAGTGAAACGCATCAGCTCATGAGTAATCATCTTTAAACTTGACAACAAAAAAATCCCAGATATTTGAAATTACTAGTACAATTTTACAAAATACTTAAAGTTTCTACTTACTGCATGTTTAAGTGTGCACATTTCATAGAGAACACAACCAAGAGCCCATATGTCACTAAACAAAGAAAAACAGACATGTAAATTTTAGTTTTTATCTTCTAAGATTACCAAATAACCTAAACATAAAAATTAAGCATTTAATTCTGTAGAAGTGTACTAACCTAGTAATTTAAAAATAATATACTGAATTTTCTCACATAGAAAACACCCTGGAATATAACCAGCCCCTTGTTTTTGAAAGGCAGAATGAAAGAAAAGAAGACTTTTCCAGAGTTATGTCTACATAGAACAAGGATGGAGCATACTGTTCTGCTGACACATCCTCTTTTTCCTGCTTAACTAAAGCCAAAATCCTAACTGCTGCTGCAGATTGGTCTCCATGGGTGGATCTATGATTTTGAAAAGAGCTGAAGATTCTACAAGGGTGTGATATAAGAGGAGAGAGACCAAGAGCAGCTAAGAAAGGTTAACTTGATTAGCAGAACATGCAGACTATTAAAAAAGTAGAGACACTTGTAACACCTCTGGAGTGAAGAATAATGACTAATTAAGTCAAAGGACTCTCAGCTGCCTGAATATTAATGCCACTGATGCTGCTGCGCTGTGGAGCAAGAATCAAAGCAGGGTGCTTCTATTCATGGCAGAAACATCAGCTTCCCTGTTTAATACCTCAATTTTTGGGGGGAAGCATGTGTAATATGCAAGAAAATAACATAACAAGGAACAAATGCAAAAAACATAGCTGGACTTTGGACATGAAAGACCAAAGCTGAGCTCCAAAAACAGTCTCTGTTCAGCAGCTGCCTCTTCTTTTGACCTGAACACTCCCTAGGCATCTGCAGTTCTCCTATGCATGTCCATAATAGTCCTAGTCTGAGCAGCTTGGCACATAGCTCCCATCTACGCCCCATTTGGATCCCATCTACGCCCCACTTGGATCCAGCCTAGCAGTGCCTAACTTAACTGAACATTCTTATCTACATTGAGTTCAACACCAATTCAGCACCCATGTTTTTTCATTCAAAAGGTGACTAGAGGAAGAG